CTGCCTTGAGTTCGATGACGCTGAGGCGAGGGTGTTTGGTATGTGTCTATACTCGTTATTTTTGTAAATTGCTTTGTTGTTGCTGACTGTGCTGGGTTGACCTTTGTTTTGCAGAGATGGGAAGAAAGGGCAGCGGTATAAATTGGTTTCAGTCCATTGGCAATGAAAGGGCGGAAGGTAACCGCCCAGGGCCATCCGCGGGACGTGCTGGTGGTCAACAACATACACCAGCCCAAACAGCTGAGCCGGTTCCCGTTGTACTGTCGGTGTCGCCTGACGAGACGGTGGTGGTTGAAGAACAATTGAGAAGGAAAAGAAAAGTGAAGGCTGTCGGGACCAGCGGTGAGGTAGCAAAGAAGAGAAAGGAGGGGTTTGGGGAGACAGAGCGTCCCCTCCCACTCGGCGTATGGGATCCTGCCTTTACAATGGGTCACAAGGTTGAGCTGAACATGGACAGCTCGGAAAAGAAGGTTGTGGAGAACATGAGTGAGCAAGAAATAGCCGATACCATGTTGGAAATGACGACACGAGCGCAAATGTTGGCTTGGCACTTGGCCTATGCTTCTGACAGAGGTAAGCTCCGGGTTGAACTAGAGAAGACACGGACTCAGCTGAAAGAACTCACCGAGGTTCATGCGGTATGCGATGCAAAGCAGAAGCGTTCAGAGCAACTCTTGAGAGAGGCTGAAGTGCTGTTGAATGACTCTCGGGATGCTGGCCTGGCCTTGAGAAAGGAGCGTGATCAAATGTCGAGCGATTTGGAGCAGGCTAAGAAGGTAGTGGCGGCAGTGTCCAAAGAGAGGAACGACTGGCGAGTGGAGGCCCTGGATAGTAAAGAGCTAGTGGAAGAGCTGAAGGATGCGATAATGATTGAACATACCAGGGGCTTTCAGAAGGCGCTGAGGCAAGTCGGCCACTTGCTCAAGGTGTCGACTGAAGGGGTGGAATTTGATGTTCAAAAGGACGTGCACGAGGGTCAACTGAAGCCCTTGAACGAAATTCCAGAGGATGCCTTCTTGGAAGCAGAAGAGGATGAAGGGGCAGTCACCAACAAGGAGCAGGATGAAGGAGTCGTGGAGACTGATGGAGATGGTGCTGGCGGCGCTCCTAACATTGTAATAGATTAGGATTTATCATTACGATGTATATAGGAACACAAACTTACGCTTGACTGTGAAACAAATGTTGAAATTTGAACTTTGAATGTGGAATTGTTGACGGTTTTTGAATGTTTGACGTTAAAGCGGAATTTGTTGAACTCTTTGAGTGTTGAGCGGTTAACTGTGCTGATTTTGTGATTTGTTTGTCATGACGACCGCTAAGTATCCATATCGAGTGTGTTGACAACGCGGTGTATGACTGTCGAGAGTGAGGGTTGAGTAGGGGAATACTGGGTGTTCTAGGGAGAACATCTACCAGCGGGAGTGTATCCCAAGTGGACTGGGTGTTCAAGGGTGAACATCTACCAGCGGGAGTGTATCCCAATTCGTTTGTGTGCGGAAGTGCCCGAGATGACGACCTTGGGACTCGACATGGGAGAAGTTATAAATGACACGACGTAGTAATCATAATGAAATGTACTCTTTATTTGGAAACCGAACTGAATAATGTTTCAGAAATAATCGACAAAAAATGAACGCTAACTAAAGTAGTATTTAAGGTGAGTGGCATTCCATGTGTTGGGAACTGGTTGTCCATCAAGGAGCTGGAGGCGATATGCACCGTTCGACATGTCTTCTAGAATTCGAAATGGTCCTTCCCAGTTGGCTGCCAGCTTGCCGTGTGCTCGGTTCTTCCTGGCCTCTCCCCGCTTTCGCCATACCAGATCTCCACTTTTGAAGGTTCTGGGCTTGACCTTGGTGTTGTATCGGCGAGATAACATTCGCTTCTGTGCCTCGGCACGGATAGTGGCAATCTCTCGACGCTCAGGAAGGACGTCGAGGTTCATTCGCAACTGTTCTTCATTAAGTGACATATCAGTGATATTCCGCCTTACGGAAGGCTCGCCAACTTCGACTGGTAGCATGGCATCGGTGCCGTAAGTCAAGTTGAATGGCGTGTCCCCTGTAGATCCGTGAGGAGTGCACCTGTACGCCCACAAAACCTCGGGTAGTTCTTCCACCCATAAACCTTTAGCTTCACCTAGTCGCTTCTTTAACTCTGTCAGTATGGCTTTGTTCGCGGCCTCTGCTTGGCCGTTTGTTTGAGGATGCTCGACTGAAGAGGTGATATGTTTGATGCCTAAGTTGCTGAGGAAATCTTCTAGTTTGCGCTCGATGAATTGGCGGCCGTTGTCGGTAATAATCTTCTGAGGGAGGCCGAACCGACAGATGAGGCGCCAGATGAACTTCTGCACTCGTTGGGCACTAATGACGGACAACGGCTCGGCCTCTATCCATTTTGTGAAATAGTCGACTGCCACGAGGAGGAACTTGTTTTGTGCCTTGGCGATCAGTAATGGTCCAATTATGTCGAGGCCCCACTGAGCGAATGGCCAGGGAGAAACAATACTGTGCAAATCTTCGGGAGGTGCATGTATGTCGTGGCCGTGGACCTGACAGGAGATACATCTCTTGACGAATGTCTCACAATCTTGGTCGAGCGTGGGCCAGTAATATCCTGCGCGAAGAATGCGTGCCCTCAGTGTCCACTTACCAGAATGAAGTCCGCATATCCCAGTATGCAATTCGCGCAGGACGTAGTCTGCCTCTTCCTCTGATATGCATTTCAACAGAGGAGTACTATGGCCGCGACGATATAGGTCGTTGTCGATGTATACAAAACGTGCGATGTGTTTGGAATCGGCCATAGTAATACTCTCTCCTTTGTCTTGTTTCTCCATAAGATCTTTGATCTTCTGGGGCCAGTCTGTTATAGGTGTCGATACATTGGTGACGAAGGCTTCCACTACAGGATGGTCGAGTGTCATCTTAATGATTGAGGATAGCTGTGCTCGCTCCTTGGAATGGGTTAACTTAGACAAGAGATCTGCTCTTGCGTTTTGCTCCCTGGGTACATGGATGACGCTAACCTCGACGAAATTTTGGAGCAAGGTCTGAGCCTTGTGGAAATAGCGTAACAGCTGATTATCCTTGACTTGATAGGTTCCGTTCATGTGGCCGACCACCAACTTGGAGTCCATCCGACACTCTAAACGATCGACCGTGAACTCTCTGGCTAGGGATAGGCCAACAATCAAGGCTTCGTACTCGGCCTGGTTGTTGCTAACTGGAAATTTGAATGTGATGGCTTGCTCTATGACTAAACCACCCGGTCCTTCCAGGACGACACCGGCTCCTCCCCCCCTTTTATCGGAGGAACCATCCACACTGAGGAGCCACTTTGTGGTTGAGTCTGCTGGTGCAGGTATCAACTCAGCTGCAAAGTCGGCCAAATGTTGACCTTTGATGGACCCACGTGGCTCGTAACGGAGTCCGAACTCTGACAGTTCTACAGACCAGGAAACCATCCGTCCTGCCAAGTCTGGTTTGCGGAGGATCTTGGCTATGGGATGATCTGTGCGGACTACTATCTGATGGCTCTGGAAATATGGTCGAAGTCGACGTGAAGCTGTAAGCAGGGCCAGGGCGATTTTCTCAATTCGAGAATATCGTTCTTCGGCTCCCTGCAGTGTACGACTGATGAAGTATATCAGCTTGAGGGAGGGTGCCTCTTGTATCAAGGCGGCACTGACAGCATGGTGGGATGCTGCGATATACAGCTGCAAGTCAGACCCATCGTCCGGTCGAGCCATAATTGGAGGACTGGTGAGAATGTGTTTGACAGTGTTGAATGTTGTTTCACAATCATCGTCCCAGTGTCGACTGGTGCCCTTTTTCAAATTCTTCAGGATGGGCTTGATGTGCTCAGCTAGCCTCGGAATGAATCGGGACAAGGCTGTGAGTCGACCCACTAGACGTTGCACCTCCCTTAGAGTTTTTGGAGCAGTCATGTCGAGTACAACTTTGCACTTGTCTGGATTAGCTTCAATGCCTCGACGTGTAAGCATGAAGCCTAAGAACTTACCCGCCGGGACACCGAAAGTACACTTGGAAGGATTAAGGCGCATGCTGTATCGTCGGAGCTGGCCAAAAATTTCCTTTAAATCCTGCAGGTGTTGTTCCACAGAATTGCTACGAATAACCATGTCGTCGACATATACGTCCATGCATCGTCCTATTTGGTGATGGAAGACTTTATCCATGAGGCGTTGATAGGTGGCCCCGGCATTCTTCAATCTGAACGGCATTAGTTCATAACAGTAATTAGCGCGTTCGGTAATGAAGGCTGTCTTGCTTTGATCGGGCTCGTACATTGGGATTTGGTTGTATCCCGAGTATGCGTCGAGAAAGCTGAGTATAACATGACCCGAAGCTCCATCTACCAAACGATCAATGCTGGGTAGGGGATACGAATCTTTGGGACATGCCTTGTTGAGATCGGTGAAGTCGACACACATTCTTCACTGGCCATTCGACTTCTTGACCATGACTACGTTTGATAGCCACGTAGTGTAAGTTAACTCCCTGATGAACTGGGCGTTCATCAACTTCTCGACCTCGACTTGAATGGCCTTGCGTTTCTCTTCTCCGAAACGTCGCTTCTTCTGAGTGACAGGTCGTGCCTCCCGGAAGATGGACAATTTGTGGGCCATGACCCCGGGATGGATACCTGGCATGTCGACGGCCGTCCACGCGAACAAGTCTGCATTGTTCCGCAGTATACGTCCCAGATCATGTTCTTCACTTAAAGTGAGATCCCCGCCAATGTTGGTGGTTTGCGACGCTTCGACCGTCAATGAAAGGAGTTTGACTTCGCCTTGCGGATGAAGACGTTCGTCTACATTGGTTCGGGGTCCAAGTCGACCGCCGCTGCCTCTGCTCCCTTCGCCCTTCTAGTTGGTACGAAAGGAGTGACCTTTAGCCCGGCTACATAACACTGTCGGGCTGTTCGCTGATCTGCCCTCACGGTACAAATAGTACCACGTTCTGTCGAAAACTTCATGGCGAGGTGGGGGTAGACACTATTGCCCCAAACGCATTCAGACAAGGTCGTCCGAGCAAGGCGTTGTACGATGTATTTGCTTCGACCAACAGGAATCGAACTCTAAGTTCAGGTGCCTCCCGACTTGTTCCTAACCGAGTTCGCAGGTCAAGGTACCCTCTGGTGTCTACTCTTTCTCCTGAGAATCCTACGATTTGTTCGTTAAACGGGGCGATGAGGTCCTCAAATAGGTCCATCTTCTGGAAGGTGGACCAATACAAAATGTTGACCGAACTTCCCTGATCGACGAGGACCTTGCTGACATCATACCAAGCTATATTAGCAGTGATGACCATGGGATCATCATGATCAGAGTCGAGTGCATGGAAGTCAGTGTTCGTGAATGTGATGTCAGGGATCGACCTAGGTTGTCGATCGACCATATGAACCGACTTCAACTGTCGCAAATGTCGCTTCCTGGCAAAAGATGACCCTCCCCCTCCGGTAAAACCGCCAGATATGGTGTCGATTCGGCCTCGGACTGAACGCTCTCTCTCTGTCCGGCGAAGCGGACTGCACGATCGCCTGCGGTGTCGATCATCTCTCGGGGGTGATCGTTGGGGACTTCGCTTAGAAGGATCCTTTCGGCGAGGGGTTGCGGTTCTAGTGGGGACTCTATCCTTGATGTAGTTCTGGAGGTAGCCTGCACGGATGAGTCGCTCCAGTTCGTCCTTCACCATGTTGCATTCTTCCGTGTCGTGCCCATGGTTCATATGGAACCGGCAGGCTTTGCTATTGTCAGCGTTCTTTGGAGTAGCCTTTCGCCGCACGGTCAAGAGTTCGGCGTGCAAGGCCTCTTCAAGCACCCTCGCCCTTGGTGCATTGAGGGTCGTGTAACGATCGTACTTAGACATCCATCCTGACTCCTTCCGGGGTGTGCGGTCTGGCTTGTAGTCGTTGGTGGATCGCTTTGCGGGCTTCTTTGCCTCGTGATTGGGGACATCCTGATGTTGTTTCCACCTAGAATTACGGTGGTCCTCTATGCGGATGAACTTTGCAATAGTGGATTGCAATTCTTCCATAGATGCTGGAGGGTCAGCATATAATTGTTCTGCAAAATGCCCCGGCCTTAAGCAGGACGGTAGATTGCTGATGATGAAAGTGGGACTGATATCCTTCACGCGTCGGGCCGTCTCGGTGTACCGTTGCATGAAAGCTTTCAGGGTCTCATCTTTTTCCTGCTTGGTATTGACAAGCTCCGCAACAGTCATCGCCGGTTTCTTATTGGCCGCATACTGCTTTCGGAATAAGGATTCGATTGTTGCAAAACAATCTACTGAATTCCGTGGAAGAGTATGGAACCATTCCAGGGCTTCGTCCTTAAGAGATAAAGAAAAAGCTCTGCAGATCACCGGGTCATTGTCAGTATAGAATGCCATGGCATCTATAAAATTACGTAGATGGTTATCAGGATCGTCGGAACCACTGTAACGTTCTAAGGCTGGGGGAGGTTTATCTGGCATATTCGCTTGCATAATGGCCTCTGTGAACGGAAGCATGTTGGTGAGGCGCATGGAAGTAGGCCCCTTCCTCCCCCCGCCAACAGGATCAGAGGCTCCTCCATGATGGCTTACTTCGTTATCCTCTTATCTGTTCGAAGCAGACAACTCCGGTGGTGGGCGCTGTGCCCTCAGTGCCGCCATCTCCTCCGCCTGTTTGTGCTGGATTTCTTGCTGCTCTCTGATAGTTTGTGCTTGTGCCTCAATCTGAGCCTGCAGCTGCCTGATCAATTCGCGAGTGTTGAAGTCTTCCATTGCTCCGGTGGTCGTTGTTGGGATAGCAAATCTCGACCCCACGTGGGCGCCAAAATGTTTCTGTATGGATGTGGAGACCGAGATACCAACCTAACAAAACTGGACTGCTTCTTCTTGTGATGCCTATTACGATGCTCCCTCCCTCTCTCTATGCTCTGCTCTCCGGGAGAAGATGGGCTGGGTACTTGCAAAGGCACTCCGACGCTCAAGTCAAGAAAGGAATGTCTGATTAAACTTCAGAATAATAATCTCTCTCTTAATTTCTCTTAGGGAAAAAACGTACCTTTTTTCTGGTGTGCTTTGCATATTTAAAACAGTAAATATTTAAAACAGTAAAATAAACCGTTTACCTGAAAGTTCGGTCAGTTACCGAAGTTGACTGCCTGGGAGTTGTAACTGTTAGATCGTGTTTCATACTGGGTCAGTTATTCCCGTGATTTGTGGTATCTGACTAATATTCGAAATTATCTGTTAGCATATGCTAAACCGCTTTGTTGTCGTGCGAGCGCTATGTGTCGAGACATCATTGGTTGTCGACCACCAGGTGATCGACATGGTCTACCACCAGGTGCTCGACATCAACCTGTAAGTGCTCGACATCAACATGCGAATGACATTGACTGTCGATTACATGGTGTTCGACATCAACCTGTAAACACTTGTGACGTTAAAGGTCGACCGCTGGTGGACTAGGCATCCTATAGTACAAAACTTAAAAATAATAAGAAATCAAAATAATCAAACAAAAAAAATTAGAAAACTAAATAACTAATTAAGCTTATAAAATATGTGTATTATTTTTGTGTCTAAATTTAAATTTAGATTCGAGGGAAGATATTAAAAAGAATCAATACACAAATTTATACAAAAATATAAATTATTGACAATCTAAAACTTTAAAATAAATTTATAAATTTTATACTACTTATAATATATTATTAAATGTAAGGCTTGTAAGTTATAATATGAAAGTTAATTGATCTCAATTTTTTTAGGACCTATCTAAACGTAAAAGATATATATGGTAGGAAAGGAATATAAGAATAAAATGCCCTAAGTTTGGAATTTGAACCTCTTGAATATAAGAATATAAGAATAATATGAAAGTTTGGAATTTTAAGCCGTTGAACATAATTTCTAATTTAGTCAAACAGATATGTTCTTAAGATTTAATAGAAAAATATAAGACATCTATGGTCGAATCCTTAATCATATCAGAAGACAGACATTGATTTCTTCCCTGTTCTAACTTTCGGCCAACAGGGTTGCTTGGTTCCACTTTCCAGCGTCCACAATTTATTCTCTTCCCACTATTATTCTCTTATTATTTTCTGATTAAATAAACAGTCCTTTTAAGCTAATCCTTTCGCCACGTTTACGTGTTTATGGACCAATTATTGCACGTTCATATAAAATATATATATTTGGATTCAATTTTAGTGATTAAAATGGAATATAAGTTAAAGTATTAATTAAGTGATGAGCATCTAATGACTTTTTTCTAATAAAATATATACTTTTATAGTTAAAAAATTATATATCTCTAATAATACAAAAACATTTAGTTATTGGTATTCTTTCAAATTAATCAAGATAGGACACACCAAACGATTCTCAAATTAAGGAGAGTTATATCACTTTGGAATGTCCTAATCATGATTTTGAGGAAGTTAAAGATAATTAGGTTATAATTGTTTTATGAGTGATCAAAATCATAAACATTAACTTTTTTTCTGCTTGTTAGGTCAAAAGATATATTATCCACCACCTATTTATAAAAAAAACATTTTTATTCTTACATTTATCGTATATATTATGGAATAGATATTTATTGGTTTTTATAATAGGTTTATGAAATAATATCAAAGCATATATAAATTAGTTAAGAGTATATATAAAACTTTTATACTCGTAACGAAATTATTAAACTTATTATATAATAATACGTATTTTTACAATTCAAACCTATTTAAAAGGGTACTCTGTAGCTCCACAACTCCCCTTATAACACGAGGAAATGCAGCCAAGCGGTTTTCTACATTATTGCCTATAGATAGTTTCTGCCACACTTATAATTTTATGAAATAAAAAATAATATAATATAATGTATGATAAATTAAAATAAGATTAAATAGATGTAATAAGATAAGTTAAGATTAAATATATAACTTTTTTTATAAATGTCTATACAAATGTTATTAATCATTGTCTTATTTGAAATTAATCATAAAAATAATTTTTTTAAATGTTATTTTAACCTTCAATGTAAATAAAATAGGTATGTAAATTGATAATTATATATATATATATATATATATATATATATGAAGCATTGTTTTATTTAAAATTAATTATAAAACTAATTTATTTTTAACAATTATTCTAACTTTCAATTTCGTAAATTATTTTTAAAAAGTTAAAATATGAACATTGATAATTGCATAAAAAATCCTAATTTAAACCTACTGTTAAATATGTTTTTAGTCTCTCAACTATTAAGCGTTTTTCGGTTTAGTTCATTTTTCAAGGTTTGTTTCATTTTCATCCTTCTCCTTAATGAAATTGTAATATTTAGTCTTCCATGACTAACGGCGTTAATTTTTTTCTTAGGTGACTAATGGTGTGTCACATCACTTTTTCTTTTACTGAAACGTGTAAACCCTCTCTCCCTGATGTCTTCACGTGAGAGGCTTTCTCCTCATGGAGCCCTAACATCTCAAACGACTTTTTCGCCCCTATTAAACTAGAGCATGAAGGCTGTTAAGAGAAAGACCACTGGAACTGGAAGGATGACGTACCTGCATCACGTGCCTCGCATATTTAAGAGTGATTTTAGGGAGGTTATAATCGATTGATTATTTGAGTGCTTAAATTTGGGCATTGGTTTAGGATTTTGGCTAACATGGTGATTTTGAATCAAGTACCAAGGCTGCACCCAAGAAGAAAGGAACGACTACCACTACCTAAGCTTTTGAAAGTAGTATTTTTTCTGGATCATTGAATTGTAGGAGTTAAGGGTTTTATGTTGTGTTAAACCTTGTGGGACATTTTTTCTTTCTATCGATTTGATCTCATATGATTTTTATGTATTTTGTATTTCAACTTGAGCAATAAGGAATTTTGGTTTGATGGTTTTTTGTGTCTATATTTGCACCACAATTGTATAGGACAATTATAAAACCCTAGAAAATGGTGTTTTAAAAGTGGTGGTAGTATAAAAATAGTGAGACTCGATTATTTTAATATTAAACAGTTTTATTATAAATAGTTTTGTTATAAATGAGTTTCATTATTTTTAAAATGTATCATCTCTCTAGAAACCACTTTTTTAGAGTTCTTTACCTTCTCTCTAATAGTTCTAACTCTTAAGTCATCTCTTTGACGATCAAGAGGTACCTGATCGACCACGGCAACGAGGTCTACGTTTCTACCCAATCAGTTTCTTCAATAGAGCAAGTAAGTTTCGACTCATTTTTCCCTTTCCGTTCCTAAATCTGTTTTAGAGGAATCATTTTATTGTTGCATGTGTAATCATGCATTTTCTATACGTTCTCGATTCATCTAGAGTTCTAAGGACTCTGTCCGTTTTAAATTTGGTATTTTGTAGGTTCGTTTAGGTATTCCTTGTGGTTCAAGTAATCGGTGGAGCGTTTTTAGAGTTGGACAGTTTCTTTGAGAGGTAAGGGAAGCTAGATTTTTCTTTAATTGATGCTAATTGTGCATGTTAGAGGATGTATGAATATTGGACTATTTGAGTAAAATTCTGTTATATGGTTGGAGGTATTGTATCAATTATGTGGTTGATGCTTGTGTGATAATGACTAGTGTATAATATGTTGAATATGTTTCTATGTATTTTGGTGTTGGATTTGGTGTTGATAAAGTGAATCGTGATGATGGAAGTATTGGGAGCAAGGGTTATTCTTGGTTATAGGTTATTTCGGTCTAAAAAGGATGTCTTAGGAAGTGAAAATTGTGAGAGAAATCTTGTGAATTGGTTTGAAGTATGTGAAGTCTATTTTAAGTGTGTTGTGAGTGATTAAGAGGTTTAAAATGGATGAAATCTGTATGGAGAAGGTTTGGTGATAGATAGGTATAGGTTACCTTAGTTTAGAACTTGTTTTGAGGAAGTGGACTAGTGAAAACTTGAGTTAGAGGTTATGTGCTCAAATGATCAGTTTGGAGAGTCTTGGTAAGTCATATGGGACTTTTTGGAGTCCCTAAGTTGATTGAAGTTGTACCACAAATGGTAGAATTCAATTTGGGTCGATAAGTTGAAGTTTGGTAGATTTTGAAGTTTAATTTTGTTAGTAAACACTTTAAATGAATTTAGGATGGTTTAGACACAATTGGTTAAGTATAATTGAGTGTATAACACAATCTAGGAAGGTTAGAAGTTGGGAAAATATATAAAATTGGTCAAAAGCAGTTTGAGGTGATAATTCTACAGTTTTTGTGCTATAGAATTATGCAGACTCGTTGAGCGAGTGGAGCCGCTCAGCGAGAGTTTAAAAGTCTGGACCACTATTTGTGCTTTCGCCTAACAAGTTGGGTCAATGAACGCGTAGTTGAGAGGTCTATACCACTATCTCTAGATTCGCACAACGAGTTGGGTCGTTGAGTGAGAGGTTGGGGTCTGGGACCATGTCTTTGTATTCGCTCAGCGAGTGGGGTCATTGAGTGAGAAGACTCTGTGATCGCTCAACGAGCTTGGTCGCTGAGCGACTAGTTCAGGGGGGTGTTTTATTCTTTCTATACTC